AGAAGCTCTTTATAATGTGCTTCCCATTTTTCTCATTTTATTATTTCGAGTCCAGTTGTTTGGTTGTTTCTTTCTAATGGTGTTTCTCAATTTCCAGGCTTCTGTGCACAGAATCCCCCTAAATATGTTTCAATTTAACTACCCTTTTTGTCGAATGTTTCTCTGTTTCTACGTAATATTAGTTTTTGAGTTTCCTTTCCTTACATAATCCTATCTGTCTTCGCTTGTTTTCGTACATATCCGTTTATTGATCGAAAGTACTTGGGCAAGATTAAATTAATCACTGTGTTCGATAATTGCCTTGTATACCGTCAAAGTTTAATTATTCGAACATTCAACCTTATATTGATTGATATCCGTTTTAGATAGAAACCGTTTTTTCCTTTCAGTTTTTCTATTTTCTCCATCCACTATGTATTTTTACCACATATATCTTTCCTTTACCTGGTTTTCCTAAGGTTTCGTCGTCAGCCGAGTGTATTGCGTTCTTAATGTCTACATGTTTCTTCTATGTCTTCGTATTGAATTTCTTTTAGCTTTTTATCTAGTCATTTCTAATATAATCTTTTTAAGCTCTCTTCATTGAGCTTTTATATGTTAAGTTTTATTAACCTTTTCGATAACCTCCATTTCTACATCTTCCTCTTACTCTTTTTCTCGATTCTTAAGGTAATAAAAATATAATTTTGCTTTGACTAATAATAATCCGATACACATTCGGCTCTATATATATCGTTACACCCATCGCATTTATTTTTTTACAAAGAATACAAAAATTGCACTACACTAATCCTCACACTATCTGTCATAAGAAAGGTTGGGTTAACGTAGCTTAGTTGCATCTATATTATTCTAATTAGTTAATCGTACATTAGTGTGTGTATGTGTATCGCATGGAATTAGCCTTCTATATTCATTTCAGTGCATGTCTTTCTAAAGGCATGTACGTTATTGTATGAAAATATTACTTGCTTTTATGAATCACTTAAAGTTCTTTTTTAAGCAGAATGATTTTTCTCTTCAACAGTTTATATTGGTAAATTTTATCTTCTTCCATAATGATTTTGTGAATATATTATTTTGCGAAAAACGATATGTTAAAAAATATGTTTATTAATTTTTAAGCAATAAAAATTAAAAAAGAGTTACTTAAAAATTTGATTAATTTTAAATTATACGCGTTTCTGAAACTGTTCTGGAGGATTATTTAAAGTTGTGTAAAACTATATAAACGAGGGATATAAACAGATTAGAAGCTTTCGAAATGTGGCTCTATCACCGTATCCTAAAAATACCATGGACAGCGAAAATCACAAATATAGATGTCCTTAACAGAGTGAACCAAGAACGCCAACTTTTCGAAACCATCAAGAAAAGGAAAACGGTGTATCTAGGTCACATCATGCGAAATGAAAAATACCAGTTCCTCCAACTTATAATCCAGGGAAAAATTGAAGGCAAGGGAGGAATGTGACGCAAGAAAATGTCCTGGCTCCGAAACATAAGGCAATGGACAGGGATTAACGACATACAATCTCTGATACATTGCAAGAAAAAGAGAATTAATGGAAAATGTGATCGCTAACATCCATTAGTGGATTTGCATCTGAAGAAGATGAAACTTTATAGGAAACACTATTATTGAGGGTTTCGTAGATACTGAAACTTTGCTATTATATTTCTGATATAATATGATATGGCTCGTTTTTCCCTCTACTCGACCAATTACATCTTGAAAGCTTAAAAGTTCCCCTTCTATAATCGTTCCTTCGACGATGTAACATCTACCAGCCCCAGTAGTTGACGATGGATCAGGATGCTAATATACAACAATGTTTCCAATCCAATTTTTTTATATTTTTAGCAACTTTTTTTATGGGTTAAGAAACACGTGCTTTTGCTCTCTGCGGTTCTTATTTACTCTTCTATATAATTTATGTATTCATCTCTCTGTTCGCTTTCCTTGCCAATCCTTTCTGTTTCAGTAAGAGATTTTATGTCGATTAGAAAATGTTTCCTTTCATCAACAATATCGTTGTGTTTATTACAAAGGCTAGACTTGACTCTCTCTTTCTCTCTCTACTAGGTATTTTACTAGACTAGATATTTGTTAATACTTTTTTCCGAAAGCAGCAGTTTAGTTGAATTTTTTGTGGGGTTTTATTCCCATAAATAATAAATTTGAGCCGCCGGAAGCTCACCTTTCATCCTCTTTAGCTTTTTACATAATACACATACACTCACAGTACGCTTATTTATGACTTCGAGGTCATGACATTAGAATTTGGTGGTAGAGCTAATTCCAAAACCTCTGTCTGTCTGAACACAAACGAAAATTATACAAGGTTTTGTTACAGTACAAGCATCAATTAACTATATTGCGATCGAAGAACCGTTATCAGTTTTAAGGGCCACAAATTTGAAATTAAACATAATATAGGTACCGCGGTTTCGAATGTCCATAATTTGTATATTCTGGTGCATCTTGCAATTGTGTAAGAACCGTCTTTAAAGCAGGTGATTGGTCACTGACTTCACACTGACATGACGGTGAAAAGTGAAAGGAGTAACCTCCCCGTTGAACGTTTGAACGGCTGACGGAACAAAAGTAACGCCGAAATGGTAGCGTCCTTCACTGTCATGCCGTCTCACATACTCACACTGGGCTCTTTGTGGCAAAACTGTCTCTCGAAAGCTGACGAGGCCTTCTAAACAGAATTTTAGTGCAATACACTAGTACTGATGATAAATGTAGACGTAAAACGGTAAAAACTCAGTCTTTGTCATACTTAGCTCAAAAAACACAAACATTACACTCTGCAAAGAACATCTCATCCAGTCAGAATCTTTCAGTTCTGGTTAGACTCGGCGACTCCATCTCAACAGCCTCCAAGATGCTCCACAACACATGCCACGACAACTTGTTCCAGTGTCTTTTTCGGTGCTGTTTTGCCTTCTACTGTGCTAACCAACAACATTCAAAGCAAACCTGAAGAGGATCACAGAATCCTGAAAGGGAACTTACCCTTATCATGTACCTACCAGATTTAAGACTTATTCTGGTAAATCTGTGATAGTTTATATTATCATAGGTTTCTTTGGAGAAAGGGCTACTTTGGTTTTAATATCCAGAGATCGTTTGCTGGCTTGTACTATTCTAGATATTATATTAATAATAATTAAAAATTATTGGCATGTTGCAGAATTATGTAAAAATAATTCTTTAAATGGAAAAAAATACATTTAGATTTAACTTAAAGCGACAGAAGAAAATTAAAAAACAGAGCTTTCTGCGATAAATAGGAGCTTACTCCATAGATAAGAAATAATGAAGATATATTAATAAATGAACAAAGAACTAATAAAATATTGGTAAAAATATTTTACAGAGCTGGTAAATCAAAACGAAGTAGTAATGGAAACAAACCATGAAATTGTAGATGATCACATAGTTATAGAAGTACCTACAGAGCAAGAAATAGTAAACGAAATAACAGCCAAAAATAAAGACTGTAATAAAAGGGCAGAGAATACGATATTTAGGACACATCGAAACAATGGGAAAGAAGTATGTCGAAAATGGTGCTTCCGAGAAAGACAGTACAAAAAAAAGCAAAGGTAGACAAAAAAGAGGTAGAAGAGCAACATGTGGGAAGATTGACAAAGAAGTAATATCGAGAATTGAAAATAAAGAGTAGGTATTGGATAATTGGATAAAAAATAAATAAAACAAAATTATCTTTAGCCCTAGGCCTCCAAGGCCTGCTGAGCTTTATAAATAATAAATTATCATCGATTTAGAGGTTTAAATATAAAAAAATTTATACTAAATTCACTAAAACTACGTTCTTGTTGCTTCATCAGTTTTATTTTTTACCAAGGCTTAAGATAGTGTTCATTTCACTTTTCGTATTTTTAAAATAATCACACAGTAATATTATTTTGCGACCCTGCTCTTTAATAGCATTACACTTTTTCCCGTCCATTTTCAGCAAAATTCTTTAAAAAGAAAATGAATTGAGAAACACACACCTTGTTCTCAATTGTACCGCTACTGAATATTGACTTTCATTTATTATTGAATCGCTTAGCATTATTGAATTTCATAATGCTAAGCATGACGTTCGAAGTACCTTCAAATTTCAATTTCTGCTTTGATGAAATAATATGCAAATTAGGGTCATCCGAAACGGCGGTACCTATATATTTCTCTAAAGATGTGTTGCAACTTATTTTTGATATTATTTTGGGTGCCATGTTAAAAACGTACATATACTTAGGTAGTCCAGAAAGTAAAGAACGTTTTGGCAAAAAAAATCAACACACAATTGTATTTAAAAAGTCTTACGACAGATATTGTATCGTGGAATTCGTTTTTCGATGAGGGTATTGTAGTTATCTACCGCTAAACACCTGAGCCAGTATTTCACTTTATCTTTGACCTCTTTGTTTCTGAACTCCTTTCCACACTGCTCTCCTTTAGAGAGCAGATGATAATCGAAAGGAGCGAGGTCTGGACTAAAGGAAGGGTGTTCGAAAATTTCCCATTATAGACGTTAAATTTCTTGCCGAGTTCTTGCCGATGAATGAGGCCGAGCACTGTCGTGAATCAGAAACACCTTCGTCGACAACATGCCACGTCGTCTATTCTGTATTGGTTTCTATGTTTTAGTCTTTGAAGGGTTTCGCAATAGGCTTTTGAGTTTATTGTTTCAGTCCTAGGCATATACTCGACACTCATACGTGAATTAAACCGAATTACATTGTGTACTATATATTTGGCGGGATTTTCAATGGGCGCCGCCATATCAAAATGCTATAGATCACAGACGCGTGATCACACACTATCGAGACTTGACTCACAGCGATGTGACAGACAGAGGTAACTGCTGCGTTCGAAGTTGGGGCTTTTTGGACGACCCACGTATATTCTTTTTATTTTCTACATGTTAACATTTTTGCTCAAAATCAATATTAATTACAATTTTTAACATTTTCAGAGACGGTGTCAGCTAATACTAGTCCGTGCCATAAGCCCCATGAAGAAAATTCTTCAGAGCAGTATAGAAGAAGATCAGAGGGCTCAGAACCAGCTTCGGATTCCAATTCTCGACGAGCATCTTTCAATTCCTCTCCGGTACTACGTTGTCGCTATGCCAGATGTGGAAAAACGGTGATAATATCGTCAGCTGAAGCTAACGGTTTTAAAAATTGTCATAATTGCTCATACACCTACTGCTCTAGGGCTTGCAGACGAGCTCATTGGGAAAAGCATAGAAAGACGTGTCTCTTCTCTCGAATCGGCAGTCTCTGCCGACAAGTCATAGCGGCGTGCAAGGAAAAGAAAGATACCCTATGTCACCTTTCTCAAATGGCTAGAAGAGGTTACTTGTCACATGGTATAGGTGCTGTTAAGTGTTTCTTCCCCAATCCGGAATCAGCGGAACAATTCCTATCTAAAGGCTTACCCAATCTAGGCGAGTTAACGTACGTCCGTTGGCAGGACTTACTTCCCTCGGAAATGGGACCCCAGTTATATGCCGAATTAGTGAAAATGTGTAAGAACTACAATCCCGATAGTAAACTTGTGCTTTATGTTTCAATTTGTGTGATTTCTGAATCACCAGCGACAGGTTCTGTGAAATGGGAACGACAGCTTGTATCGAGATGCGGAAAAATGAGACTCAGCAAAGATGTTCAAATACCAGAAAGAGAACCCACAGAAAGTACCGAAACTTTAATTCTCACTTCGGCTCCTATCGAAGCTGATCCAATAACAGTTAAGGAGATACGCGAAAAAGCTGTAGATAACCTAAAAAATCATCTTAAATCCAGAGGCGTGTCTTTAAAAAGGCACCAACCTGAAATCCATAAGCAGTTGTTAGATTATTGTTCTAATGTTAGTACAAAGTTTACTCCAGTTACGATGTATCCTAAGGATAACATATCTGGAAAAAATTTAATGTGTATCCTTATGTTAGATGCCAACGAAGAAAGTGTCAAAGAAGTGGAAAACGCAGGGGTTAAAGTTAGGACTGTTAATTTGTTAGACGATAGTTGTAACGACTGATTAATTCTCGAACAAATTTTATTGTTAATAACAAAATTAATGGAAGAACATACACGCTAAATAAAATCCATTGTTATTTGTGTAAACTGACAAATGCATTTGATAGTGATATAAAACATGTTTTGATTTTTATTTCATACTCACTCTAAATCTAAATGAAGAAGTATATCACTGAAGGGTAGTCCTGAAATAAAATCAAAACTGTCAGTTTTTGTATGTGTGTAACAGTGTGTTTTCAAATGTTTTATTGTTATAAAGATTAAATAGTAAAAAGGGTAAAGGCAGGACAATCTTAGTCAAAAGAATAATATATGATTTTACTTGTATTATTTCAGTTATAAACAACGGTATTAACAACGATATGTACGTAAACATACATCAATAAAAAGTTTTAACAGTAACAAGATATCAAGTCTAAATAGTATGGACACTCCATTTCTAATAAAACAAGAGTTTTCTATTTTTTTGCCATCTAGTGCCATTCATTCATTCTAATTGGCCATACCACTTCAGTATTTTCCATTGTTTCTATTATATTACCATCTACATTCAAAATTCTTCTAATTTCATCCTTTCTAATTCGTCGTTCGCGATTCGTCTCCAGTACTCCATTTTTATCTAGCAAGATAGCCATCTATCTATAACTTGCCATGTTTCTAACCCATTTGTACCTTATGCTTCCAACAATGTTTTCTAAATAGGCTCTATGACTCAAGAGTATTGACTTTAATTAGCGGATAGCACGTCTTCCTTATTCAATTTTGCTTTTATAATGTCTTGCTGGCTCTTTCCGTAAGATTTTAATGTTATCTCTTTCTTGTCGTTTCTCCGTAACATGTTAATTAGTTGAATAGTGTGTAATATGTCGACCACCATTATTTTTGTCTTAGCTTTATTGATTTTTACTCGATTATGTACTCAACTCTTCGCAGGAGATTAAACACTTCTTGTTCATTTCCTGCTATAAGTGCAGTCTCATCAGCAAATCTTAAATTGGAGATTTTCTCACCAGCCACTGTTACCCCACCAGCCCATTCCTCTAAAGCCATCCTCATGACGTGTTCACCATAAATGTTGAATAAGTTAATGTTATAACCAAGTAAAAACAAAATAGACGGTTTAGGTTTGATTTCGCTACAGCGTATAACCATTCGCTGTATGCATATTTCTGCCTCTTGACTTCATCAAGAGCCTACCATCAGTTCACTCTAATGAAGACAAGAGTCAGAAATTCATCAGAGAATTTCTGTCGGGATGAATTGACGAAGATATAATTATAAATCCCTATGCCAGTGCATTCGTCGTCTGCTTGGTTTGCAACCTTTAGAAAACGCAGATTAAGGCCGAATCCTGAATTCGATTTCCGACTATATTATACCCAAGTATTTGAAGGACAAGCAGCTTATGTCCAAAACTATGTTTTGTTGATGGCGTAGCAAAACATATCATTTGGATATATATATATATATATATATATATATATATATATATATATATATATATATATATATATATATATATATATATATATATATAGTCCCAAGATTCCTAAGAGGAACATAGGGCTTCCACAAAGTGTCTCCAGCGAACTCTATTTCTGGCTAGTGCTTTGATTTCAAGCCAGGATTTTCCCATTTTTCTCCCTTCGTCCAGTACTGTCCTTCTCCAAGTTCCCTTAGGTCTGCCTACTTTCCGTCGGCCTTGGGGATTCCAATCCAGCGCTGTCCTGGCAATGTCATTTGGCGGTCTACGGAGTGTGTGGCCCAGCCATCTCCATTTTCTTCGCCTTATTTGCTTTATGACATTTTCTTGGTTGCTTTGGTTCCATAAATTTTCATTGGAGATTCGGTTAGGCCAAAATATACGAAGGATTTTTTGTAACGCTCTATTGATGAAAACTTGTAATTGGTGTACTATGGGTGCTGATATCTTCCACGTTTCGCAGCCATACAGTAATACAGCTTTTACATTTGTGTTGAAGATTTTTAATTTCGTTTTAGTTGGGTAAATCCTGGATTTCCATATGTTGTTAAGCATGTTGTAGGCGTTGCGAGCCTTATTTATTCTTTCATGTACATCACGCTCTGTACTCCCATTACAGTCAATTATGCTGCCCAGATATGCAAATTCCGCTACTCTCTCAATTTTCTGGTCGTTGATCATAATAGGTTGGTTGTTTCTGGTACCAAATCGCATTTCTTTGGTTTTGTTGATGTTTATTTCTAGACCAACCTTCTTTGATTCTTCTTGTACTTTGTTTACTTGGAGTTGCATGTCCTGTTTTGTATGTGCTAGGAGGCATATATCATCAGCGTAATCTAGGTCTTCCAGTCTGTTTGTTAATCCCAGTAAATTCCTCTATTAGAGTTTACCTTTGTTAGTACGGAGTCCAGTACAATGTTAAATAGTATGGGAGATAAAACACAGCCCTGCTTTATTCCGTTTAGCATAGCTATTGGGTCAGATGTTATGCCGTTGTGTTGGATTTTGCTTTGTGTGTCACTGTAGAGTTGTTTGATGAGATTTACTATTTTTCTGGTATTCCTATTTCCTGCAGTGCTTTCCATATGGCCGTATGTGTTATCGTGTCAAAAGCTCTCTTGAAGTCCACAAAGCACACAAAGAGAGGAGAGTTGAATTCCTGTGACTGTTCTACAATTATTCTTAGTGTGTTAATTTGGTCCACGCATGATCTGTTTGGTCTGAAACCGGCTTGTTCCTTCCTCAACATTGGTTCTACACTGTTTGTTAATCGGTTGTTTATAATTATTGCTGTTAATTTATTTATAGTATTCAGAAGTGTGATTCCTCTCCAGTTTTCGCAATATCTTCTGTCACCCTTTTTTGGTATCTTTATTATTAATCCCGTTTTCCATTCTTTGGGGAACTTTTCCTCTCTCCAAGCCCTTTTCAAGAGTGGTTGGATTAGCTCTGCCACTGTACCTGGGCAAGCTTTTAACAACTCTGGTGGAATATTGTCAGGGCCGGCTGCTTTGTGTGCTTTCAGTTTTTCTATGGCCATTTCTATTTCTTGCGCTGTTGGTTCATTGGTGTTAATTCTCAGTTGGATATTAGGTATTAGGTTTTCTGCGTCACCATTTGGAACTAATACAGAAATATTAACATATATTTTTTCTTGGAGTATCTATACAATTTTAGGACTACTGTGATAGAACTAAAGGAGTCATTGGACTCTCTAAAAGCTTATTGGTATTTGATAAAATTATAGTTTCTGCTTTAACAGGAAAGTAGCTGTAAATATTTTAAACATCTGTCATTCTAAAAGTCTGTGGATGACTCTTCCATTAATATTCAATGTTCAAAATTTTGCTCATATGTCCAGTTTTCCTTATGGAAAACAAAACAAAATTGTTTATACAGTGTAAAAGAAAAAGCAATTAAAGCTTTGTAAATCTTATTATAAAAACTTCAATTTTGAACACAAAATATAATTGAAATTTTTATTTACCCCAAAAATTATTTTTACTCCGGTAAAAATGATGGTAAAATGATTAGTCCGGCTAGTAAATATTTATGACAAATATGAAATATAGCAAAAAGAAAGAAATTTTAAGAATAATAATAAATTATTAAAAAATTACTTAAAAAATAAATTATTATGCTACTTATTTATTCGTATAGGTACTTCCTTTTCTAGCTTTTAAATTCAATTTCTGTGATTGTTCATTATACCTAAAGACACTTATAGATATCTTTTTTGCCTTCTATTGGCGCTGTATTTGCTGCTTTCCTTTTTCTATCCCATTTTTTGAAATAAGACGAAAAATTCATCGCAAAATTTATTTGTGCATTTTATTTTCTATTATTAATCAATTAAACAATATTTTCCATTTAATTCTTTTAACTTCTGGCTTTTGTTGTCAGTAGCTGGCAGTATTTGTTATTTGCCCTAAAATTTTACACATTGTTGGTTCTCAACTAGTACCTACTTTTATCTTAGTTTTAAAAGAATCCTTTATTTTCTGTCATTGTTAATTTGGAAAGCGAAACTTAATATCTATAATATTTATATCTGTTGTCTGTTGCTGTTATTTGTTATCATCATATTATAGGTATGTTGACGACGTTACTAGTACGTTTGAAAAAAGATGGAATCATATCTTATATTTTAAAACTTGAAATTATTATGAGTGACGCAGTGAGAAGTGAGAGGTGGTTCCAGTGTATTATCGGTTGCATAATTAATAGGAACGAATTTACAAATAATCTGAAGAATGGAATATTTTTTAAATAAATATGTTTTGAATTTGTTTTTTGAAATCATCATATCCTGATGGTTGCATGGGATGACGTTTTTAATGTATAGGTTTGCTTGTTGTGAATATTTAATTTAATCAATTTTAAGGATAATGAAAATCATGAGATTGTTTTGGATATTTCGTTTGTTTTTATGGTTGTATTTAATTGTAATTTTTGAAACAAGAGACATTGTTTTAAAGATCTTTGTTAATTTTATGCGTGTCATGCGATGGAAGTAGGTATTAAATATTTGTTATGATTGTGTTATTCTAAAATACCTACAGTAAATAATTATTTTTATTAACTTTTTAATCTTGCACTCATGCATTTCAGTGGCTGGTATTACAAGAGATGGAGCCTGGCTATAATTAGTAACTACGTGCTCACTGCAATGGATATAATCCATATAGGTATGGCGTTATGCAATTTCATGTTACATGTTTTAGAGCTAGACAGAATTCAAATTTTACTAGACTGATTTGAAATAACCGTAATTAAAATACACTGTATATACATTTTTGTACAAATTCGGTAAAACACATATAACTGGGTAAACCGATTGTAAGTCTTTCATATTTTATCAAATTGTTTTATCGTTCAAGGGTAACACTCTGGTATATGAATATCATAACTCTTTGCTGGTTAAATTATCAATACAAATAAGTATAATACATTAAATGATGGGTATAGAACGGAAATTTATAGGTTATAATTATTATATAAATAAAGAAATATAAAATGTTGAATATT